GCATTTTCATGAGATCCCAGGGTTATTCATGTTGCATGTTAAAGTTTGAGAAGCAGTGACCTTGGCCTGCAGTTCACAAGACTCACTGTGGATCTTTTTGAAAATCTAGAGGCTCTGGCCCCATTCTGAAACACAATGCATCAGATTTTCCCAAGGCAGGGTCCCGATCTGTTTCCTAAAAGCTCCTCAGGAAGCTTGAGGAACAGCCAGGATTGAAAACCAAGGAACTAGAAAGTCTAGACTTATATCCATGAATATAAGAAAATTTAGTAGATTATAACAACAGTACCCCAAATTAGTAAGGAGTGTGATTTAAGAAAAACTACACATATATGTATGTGAATGCTTAGAAAGTGGTCTGGAAAGACAATTATCAGGCATGGGGATTTGGCAATGAAGGGAGACTTTTGCTTTTTTTTTAATTGTGATAAAAAACACGTAACAAAATTTACCATCTTAATCATTTTTAGTGTACAGCACAGTAGTGTTAACTTCATGCACATTGTTGTGCAACAGATCTCTAGAATTTTTCATCTTGCAAATCTGAAACCCTATACCCATTAAATAACAATTCTCCCTTTCTCCCTCTCCCCAGCCCTTGCCAACCTTCATTCTACTTTGTTTCAAAGAGTTTGACTACTTTAGAGACTTTGTATAAGTGGATTCATGCAGTATTTGTCTTTTTGTGACTGGCTTATTTCACTTAGTATAATGTCCTATTGGTTCATCCATAATTTTCTTCCTTTTAAGACTGAATAATATTCCATTGTGTGTATATACCACATTTTGTTTATTCGTTCACCCACTGATGGACACTTGGGTTGCTTACAACTCCTAGCTATTGTGAATAATGCTGCTATGAACATGGATGTACAAATATCTCTTCAAGATCCTGCTTTCAATTCTTTTGGGTATATACCCAAAAGTGGAATTACCAGATTATATGGTAATTCTATTTAATTTTTTAAGGAACCATCATGTTGTTTTCCACAGCGGCTGCAACATTTTATATTCCCGCCAACAGTGCACAGGGTGTCACTTTCTCGGTAGCCTTGCCAAAACTTATTTTCCATTTTTGTTTTTTTGTAGTAGCCATCCTAATGGGTGTGAAGTGGTATCTCATTATAGTTTTGATTTGTATTTCTCTAATAGTTAGTGATGGTGAGCACCTTTTTCATGTGATTGTTGGCCATTTGTATATATTCTTTGGAGAAATGTCTATTCAAGTCCTTTGCTCATTTTTTAACTGGGTTGTTTGTTTTTTATTGTTGAGTTGTAGGAGCTCTTTATATATTCTAGATATTAACCTCTTATCATATATATGATCTACAAATATTTTCTCCCATTTTTGTGGGTTGCCTTTTCACTCTGTTTAGAGTGCCCATTGATGAAAACAAAAGTTCTTAATTTTGATGTAGTCTGATTTATTTATTTTAATTTTTGTTGCCTTGTACTTTTAGTGCCGTATTCAAGAAGTTATCACCAAATCCAATATCAGGAAGGTTTTCTGCTCTTTTCTTCTAGGAATTTTTTTTGTTTCAGGCCTATGTTTTGTCCTTAGTCCATTTCGAGTGAACTTTTGTACATGGTGTAAGGTAAGAGATCAATTTCACTCTTTTTCATATGGATATCTGGTTTTCTGAACACCGTTTGTTGAAGAGACTATCCTTTCCCCCTTGTGTAGCCTTGACATCCTTGTTGAAAATCATTTGACCATATATATGAGGATTTATTTCTGGGCTCTCTACTCTGTTCCATTAGTCTATATGCATATGTGTCATTATATCTAAAGTGAGTGTCTTGTAGACAGCATATAATTGGATCTTATTTTTTTATCCATTCAGCCATTCCATGTCTTTTGATTGGGGGAATTCAATCCTTTTACATTTAAACTAATTACTGATAGAGAAAGACTTATTATTGCCATTTTGTTAATTGTTTTTGTTTGTGTTATAGTTATTTTCTCCTTCTTTTCCCCTCTTGATGCCTTCCTTTGTTTTTCATTTATTTTTTTTTTGTAGTGGCATGCTTTGATACCCCTTTCATTCTCTTTTGTGCATCTTCTATAGGTATTTTCCTTGTAGTTACTATGGGGATTACGTAAAACATAGTTATAACAATCTATTTTAAACTGATATCAACTTAACTCCAATCACATATGCTCTGCCCTCTCCCTACTTTATGTTATCAATGACCAATTACATCTTTCTATATTTTGTATCCAATAACATAGTTTTTTAGTTATAGTTATCTTTTATGCTTTTATCTTTTAAATTCTATACCAGAATTAAAAATGATTTATGCACCACCATTATAGAATTACAGCATTCTGTATTTGTATGTATATATATATTCTGTATTTGTCTTTATATTTCTGTATGCTTCTGTGTTGCTGTCTAGCATTCTTTTGTTTCAATTTGAAGGATTCCCTTTAACAATTCTTATAAGGCATGTCTAGTAGTAATGAACTCCATTAGCTTTTGTTTTTCTGGGAAGGTCTTTATTTCTCCTTCATTTCTGAAGGTCAGTTTTTCCAGATATAGTATTCTTGGTTGACAGCTTTTTTCTTTCAGCATTTTGAATACATCATCCCACGCCCTTCTGGCCTCTTACATTTCTGCAGAGATACCAGCTCATAATCTTATGGGAGCTTCCTTGGATGCAATGAGTGTCTTTTCTCTTGCTGCTTTCAAGATTCTCTCTGTCTTTGACTTTTGACAGTTTGATTATATTGTGTCTTGGTGTGGGCTTCTTTGGATTCATCGTAGTTGGAATTCTTTCAGCTTCTTGAATTTGGATGCCCATTTCCTTCCCCAGATTTGCGAAGTTTTCAGCTTTTATTTCTTAAAATATAAGCTCTCTGCCCTTTTTCTTTTCTTTTCTTTTCTTTTTTGTGAGGAAGATCAGCCCTGAGCTAACATTCAATGCCAATCCTCCTCTTTTTTGCTGAGGAAGATTGGCCCTGGGCTAACATCTGTGCCCATCTTCCTCTACTTTATATGGGACACTGCCACAGCATGCCTTGACCAGCGGTGCATTGGTGTGCACCCAGGATCCAAACCTGTGAACCCCAGGCCGCTGAAGTGGAGCGCACACACTTAACTGCTGCACCACCAGGCCAGCCCAATCTGCCCTTTTTCTCTCACCCTTCTTTTTCTCTGACTCCCATAATATATACATAGATCCATTTGTTGGTGCCCCATAAGTCCCTTAGGCTTTCTTCACTTTCTTCATTCTTTTTTCTTTTTGTTTCTATGACTAGATAATTTCAAATGACCTGTGTTCAGGTGCACTGATTCTTTCTTCTACTTGACCAACTCTACTGTTGAACCCTTCTAGTGAATTTTTCAGTTCTGTTATTGTATTATTCAGCTCCAGAATTTCTGTAAGGCTCTTTTTTATAGTTTTTATCTCTTTGTGGATATTCTTATTTTGTTCTTGCATTGTTTTCCTGGTTTCATTTAGTTGTTCATATGTGTTCTCTTGTAACACTTTGAGTTTAAGATGATTATTCTGAATTCTTTGGTAATTTATAGATTTTCTTTAGGGTCGGTTTTTTGAGATTTATTTCATTCCTTTGATTGGGCCACATTTCCTTGTTTCTTTGTGTGCCTTTTATTTTTTGATGTGATATATGCATTTGAAAAAACAGCCACTTCTACTCTTTACAGACTGGACTTATACCATGGAAGACCTTCACTGTTCAGCATGGCTCAAGATTCTGGGGGCCTCTCAAATCTTTTCTGGGGATGTGTCGTCTCTGTGTTGGTAATTTCCTAATTAGAGAGGTTTGCCAGTTTCTTTTTCAGGAGGTTGTAATGTCTTGCTCCGTCTGGTGTCTAACTGTGATACTGCAGGTTCTCTGGTGTTGGAACAAGCCACTAAGTTCTCTTGTTCTTAGTGGTCCCCAGCATCTAAAGCATGCCAGTTCTGTCAGTGTTCTAAGTCCAATGAGATAGAAACCAGTCCTTCAAGCAGCCCCCACCCAAAAAAAGCTGAAACATTGGGTTCCCATTTTACTCTTTTTCCTTCCCAAAGGAGAAGCCACAAGCTGGGCACTTTCTCCTGATTATGCTGAGTTCTGCTGGATTCCCTCTGCAGTATACTGCAAATTCTCTGTTGCTACAACAAGTAGTTGAGTAATCTTTTGTTCTTAGCAACCCCCCAAAAATCCAAAGTATCCTGGTTCCTTGTCAGTGCTTGAGTCAGGCAAGACAGAAACCAGTCCCTCAGAAAGTCCCCCCAAAAGTTGGAACATTGGATCTAAGTTCCACTCTTCTCTTTCCCTCCCAAAGGAGAAGCCCTGAGTTGGGCTTTTTCTCCTGATCACGCCAACCTCTGCTGGCTTGAGGGGAGGGCAATTGCAGATTAAATAAAATGGCTTTTCTTACCTATTTCAGTGGGCTGTACTTTGCTTTGAGTTTGCCTGGGTTACTACGATTTCTTAACTGATTTCTGGAGTTCTCATAAAGGCTTTTTGGACTGTATATTGTTGCCAAGTTGGTGTCTCTGTGGGAGAACAAAGTCTGGGCCTTCCTCTTCCACCATCTTGCTCTGTAATCAGACTTTCACTTTTTATTTAATATAGTTCTTCTTGTTTTAATTTTTTATATACATCACATTTTATTTTAAAACTATGAAGAAAAATATCCAAATTAAAATTCAAAAATATTGAAGGAAAAAAGTTTTTTCATTGCCAGGAAAGGCAAGCACATAAAGAGTATTGGTTTATAATGTTTTATTATTATAATTTATACTAAAGTTCAGTATTAGCCAGTTTTCACATGTACTATACAAAGCTCCCACTATTGTGACTTTTTCCAAATTCTTTCAGTCTTAGCAGAAGTGTAAAAAGGCACTTTGTTTGTATAGCATACGAAATAAATTCACAATACAGATTATTATGAAGCAGACAGTTAAAATATCCCTTACCAACGTAGATAAGAATAATTGTGAAATAAATGGATTTATTGAATTTTTCTTTTTCTTTTGGGCTTTAGGCATTAGGATTTTTGTCTTCTTATGGAATAGGAATGGAATACAATCAAGCTAAGGTAAGGTCATTCTATTTTTTCTGGAACAAAACTGATTTTTTTAAAAAGGGTACATTGAATAGAGAGTCTACTTTTTAGGTAAGGGGGCTCACTCCAGTGTGGTGGTTAAAAGCACCAGTTCAATAGTCAGAGAAGTTTAGGGTTAAAATATCATAAGGTTCTTAATGTCTCATATTTCAGGTTCTTCATTAAAGGTAGACAGTATCTACCTCACAGAGATTTTGTGATAATTAAATGAAATATCAGGTACAATGTCCTTTTCACAGACTCTGGAGCTCAGTAAGCACTCCCCCAAATGGCAGCCATCTTTATAGAGGAAGAGCGTGAAATTTGGAACTTATTTTGGAGTAATTCAAGGTTCACTGGTGGGCTAGGAATAAAAAAGCAACGACTGGTTTGAGTTCTAAATTTAGAGGACCAATATAAATTTTTTTTTTTTTTTTTTTTTTTTTTTTTTTTTACTTTAGGCACTGATATATTACACTTTTGGAAGTGCTGGAGGAAGCATGATGTCCCAGATGATTTTGGTTCGTAAATTAAATACTCTTGGGCCAAAATATGTGTGTTATAAATACAGCATTGTCAGAATATTAAGAATATATATGCCTGTGTTTTAGGGGTACAGATATTTGTCAGGAATCAACGTTCTACAGAATTGTGAAGTTGCCCTAAATCATTACAAGAAAGTGGCAGATTATAGTGAGTAATCCACATAATTTATTTTAAGATAGACTTGCAAAGCTATTAGAAAAATAAATCAATTCCAGTTGACATATTTATGAAAGTGTTGAGATGATGCTTTTAACACCTGTTATAATATAATTCTTTTAATACAATGTAGAGTTTCTAATTTCTGAATAGTTACTTTTCAAAAAGTTTTAAATAACTGTACTCATTTTTTATTTTGTTAGTACATGTCCCCAAACAATTGTGTTTTATTTCTTCTTGTGATGTTCTTTCCTTAAACTGAGAATTTGAACGTAACATCAATAAATATTAAGCAGTTCCCCTAATTCTAACATTTAGAATATGGGATGACTTGTTAAAAATTTCTAAAGAAGTAGATGTAAGGTTTATACACTGGTGATCGCTATCACTGCATTTGAGAGCAATTCAAGCAATCATTATTCTATTACCCTATCCTTTGTCTACAAAAAGTAGAACATGAGTTTAACATATGTTCCTAGAGTCATTTTCAAAGTTGTACGTAACATTTCATCTTGCAACATCACCGAGCCAGACTACATAATGGAGTTTTAAATAGAAGTCTTCCAAAAAATGAATAAGGTAAAGTCCATTTGGTTAGTTTCTGTAATCAGAATAACATCGGAATATACATCTTTGGCATTATTATTAGGATCTGAGAAAAGAAAGGAGGAGGAAAAAAACTACTTTTGAATATAAGAAGCCATATATAACAAGAGAGTTTCATATGCTTAATGAAACTGGAATTACTTTATATATATATATATATTTCAAAGTGCACACTTTGTTAGGTTTATTCAAGCATATTTCTCTTCATATTTATTTTCAGACTATTCATAGGAAGTTATTAAGGAGCAGCTATTGCTCTTATATTGTAGTTTCAGTCCCGGGGAAAATCAGTGGGAGAGGCAGTAGGTTACCTTCTCCTAAAATCTGGCTTCTTTCCTTGACCCCGCTTGGCCAAGATCTTCAGTAAGGTCTGATATATGTTGATACAATATTTGTACGGGTTGCAAAGAATATCTGGGTTTCTTGCACTTTTCTCAGAACCAAATAAACAAAAATCAGCAAATTTCTATCTCCCAAGAATATTTCCTTTCTGTTAGTAGACCAGATTTCTGCACAATTTAAGAACAGGCCTAACAGTATTTTCTCTGAGTTGACTGTTGTCTCTTGCAACCTTGTGTATTTTGGCTATTCTCTGCCTTGTTTCTATTCACAGTTGCTGACAAATTGGAAAAAAGTGAAGGTATTCCAGTGGAAAAAGTGAGACTAACTGAGAGACCTGAAAATCTGAGTTCTAACAGTGAGATTTTGGATTGGGACATATACCAATATTATAAATTTTTGGCAGAAAGAGGAGATGTTCAGTTACAAGTAATGTATACAGACAGGCTTGAATTTTTAGAACATGCAAATTACAAGGGGCTTGGTTCTCTCTTAGACCTAGAGGGGTTAACGGTGCCCCATCCTGAATGCGGAAGGCAAGAGACACCCCCTCCTCATTACCCTCCTCCTTTTTTGTCTCCTGCCCCTTGCAGTTCCTATGGCCTATGGGAGAGCCAGTTGCCATAGTAATTATATATATATATACATATATATATTTTTTGCATTTACTCCTAAAAAATTCAATTTTAAAATATGTAGATTTTAATTATAGGGAAAAAGGACCATCCAATGTTGATTTTAATATGAATGAAGCCTTACCAGAATCTAGAAGTGTTCTGTCTTTGGGAATGGGAATGGGACAGCATTTATGTGAAGTTTGAGAGCCAAGAGTTAAGGCCCCTTGGTTTATCTGCCCATGTGTTGCTATACACCAGCAGGCAAGCTTCCTGCCACTGAGGAAGCCATATGCCCAGCACCAACCAATTACCCAATAAAAGATATAGTCTGGAATGTTTTCCTGCTTCTTTTTTAAGACATGGCAACTGCATCAAACTAGATCAACGTACTAGAGTAAAATCACTAAGTAAATTTTTGTCTTTTCTGTATTTAAATTAATACTACTGCTAAAATAATTTCAAAACTCATTGTTCCTAGGTATCTCTTGGACAATTACATCTAATTGGGAGGAAAGGTCTAGATCAGGATTACTACGTAAGTCAACCACAAGATTTAGTCATATGAGGTGTGGAAGACAGTTGCTAGGGAGACTGGCCGGGCAGTGATGGGGGAGGGTGGAAGACTTCCTGGGGAAAGCCCACTGCTGCTGCTTTGGTCAGATTTGCTTCCTGGTTTTGAGGAAGAAAAAATTTCACCAGAGGGAGCACTTTTCCTACCTGCTTCCAAATACAAAATGCTAGAGACTTCTGAAGGAGCATTTGGGGCAGAGAAGTTTCCATGCTTTCACTGAACTTACTGTTCTTTTCTTACTCAAACTCACTGTTGGACTGGGGTTAGATGCGGCAAATACCCCCATCTGCTGGCCTTGGACATGCCCATTCCCCAAAGGCCAGCTGTGGAAAGTCCACCTGGGAGTTTCCTGCTAAGGAGCTTGAGGACCAGCCTCAGCCCCATTTGGCTAGGTCAGAGGACAGACTGCTTCCAATATAATCAGAAAGATTAATATGCATCTTTATAAATTTGCAAAGCTCTTTTCAATCATTTTGCTTAACTTTATCTTATCCCAATAAGGTTAGAAGATAATTAACAATTCAAATTTATAGTGGAGAAAAAAGCAAATGAACTTGACCTACACAGGATCCTCTTCAGTAAGATCCAGAGCCCTGAGATGAGGTCTTGTCTAGATCTTGATTGTGTTTTCAAGGCCCTAGATCCCCACAGAGCTGGAGAAATAACTGCGATTCTTTTTTAAAGATGATTTTTCAGCCCTTTTCATTTTATAGGAGTCGTGTGCTCATTGACTCAAAGGAACACATACCCTATTTCAACATAGTCCCAATGGCTAAGCAATAGAAATAACTACTTTATAAGGCAGTTACATAAAAGAGTGATCTGTTATTACTTTCCATTTCACATTATATTGTTACTTTGTGAATGAGTCTTTGGTACTATAGTTTGTGTTTTATGTGAGGTACAGTCCACATTAGCTAAATGTCAAAATTAATTTCAGAAAATGTGATAAAATAGGTATGCATCCCAAGACAGCTCAATTGAAGGGCTTCAGATTTCATTAATCCTCATCATAACCAAGGTTTTAGCTTCTTAGTTGGGAAGTTGTGGATTGACAATATTACTCCAATGTCAGATTTCAGACTGCAATGAGTTTCTCATGTTAACTCTAGGATGCATAACTGGGAAGAATTCCTCATTTCCCATAAACATGAAATTTGATTGAGTGTGATGGCAGCCAAACTTCAGCCACAGGGAATACCCACCAGTCTTTGCAGAGTACATAAAACCCACAAGGCTAAGTACTTCCGATCAGCTCCAACCACTGTGAACATAAGATGGGAGCTGTAGCTGCGTCCAGGTGAGGATGAGGTGCAATCCCAAGGCTGGCACTGAAGGATTCCAGCGCTGTAGTGGCAACAGCCAGGCAGTGGGCATCACCCAGGAGCCCAATCAGGCTCTCCTGTGGGCTCATTCACAAAGGTTTTATTACCTCTATTTTACAGATGAGAAGCTGAGGCTGGAGAGATGAAGTAAATTGCTTCAAGTCTCACAGCTGGGTAGTAAGGTTGTTAATTAGAATTTGAACTCAGGGCTTCAGCATTCAAAGCGTGTACTCTTTCCATTAAACCCTACTTCCTTTTGACCTGGGCAAAAAAAAAAAAAAAAATACAGCTTCTAAAATCCAGTTTCCTCACTTATAAAGGAAGAATAAAGAATGACATAATCTCTCAATTTATTTCAGCTCTAATTTTCTGATGGTTGGTTGGGCCTCACGCTTTCCATTCAGATATTTCAAAAAGGCTGGTTTAATTCCAGAACTGGCCCAATGGTTCAGGCACATTCTGAGGCAAGCACAGGCTGGTTCTTCCTGCTTTTCTCAGCCTAATAGACCCGAGCTTGCATGGAGGGCTCCAGTCAAGGTCTCAAACCTCAAGACTGACTGGCTTATGCATTAGTTAGATTAGGCTGTATAACAAACCACTCCCAAATTTAGGTGGCTTAAAAGAACAACCATTTATTTAATTCATGGTTTGGGCAGGTCAGCAATTTTGGCTGGGCTCAGCTGAGTAGTTATCCTGGTCTGGGCCAGGCTCAACTAATCTTGGCTGGGCTTGCTCATGCATCTGTAGTTAGCTAGAGCATTGGCCAGGGCTGGCTGGTTTATGATGGCCTCATCTGTGACAGCTAGGATGACTAGGGCCTTTCTCCACATGCTCTCATCCTCCAGCCAAGTGGCCCAAGCTTTTCACATGGCAATCAAAGGTTCTAAGAACACATGAGTAGAAGTCTCTTGAGGCTTAGGGTCAGAACTTGCAGATCACTTCTGCTACATTCTTTTGGCCAAAGCAAGCCACAAGGCCAGCCAGCACGGAAGGGGTAAGAAAAAGGACTTCCCCTTTCAATAGGCAGAACTGCAAAGTATGGCGGTCATTTTTGCAACTTTCCACAGCTTAGTTGCACCAAAATCAATTTGGAGTGGCAGGGGAGATACAAAGCGGGGAGAGAAGATCAAAAGATAAACTCAATTTCTTGAAAGGCTATTACCACAGCTCATCCTTCCAGTCTCACCTCCTCAGAGAAGATTTTCTTGATCAACTCTACTCTTCTATCTCTTATCCTATCGCTCTGTGTTTATTTTCCTGTAGCTCATGTCACTCTTTGAATTATATTGATCTTGATTTGTTTACTGTTTGTTTCCCCACAATGGAATGTAAGTTCTTGCCTGTCTTGTCTGGTCTACTTGCTGAGTACTATGTATCCTGTACTCAGATTAGTACCTGGCACATATTAGGTACTTAGTATTTATTAAATGAATGAATGATAGCATCCTAAACATTGTATGTTGCTCCTCAGCCTGAGAACCATTACTTAAGCCAGTATGCTAATACTTGGCTTCAGTCCACCAAAGAAAATTATTAGTGTAAGGCTCTTTATAAATGTAAATGATGCCCAGTTTACTGCTCAGCTAATTAAATATAAAAATACCTGGAAATAACTAGCTTACCTTCTGTTTTCTCCACAGTTTGATTGAATTAATCTCTCTCATGAGTTGTCACCACAAGGCAACATTTTCACCTCCTCCTCTTCTACCATCAAATCTTAATTATTGAAAAGTATTGTATGTGAAATTCTTGATTACATTATCTTGAATTTATACACATATATTTTAGTGTTATCTGCATTTCTAAATATATACAAGCTCAGAATGAATTGGATTAGGAAAGCTGGGTGTTTTGGTGCACAATATCAAAGTGGATAAGGCATAATTAAATTAAACTTAGCAGAGCAATAATCTCAAATATGTAAAGGAAACTGATTTGTCTACCTTACCACCCATTAAAAAGAAAAGCGCTACTATCATCCCTTTTCAGGATGATTTACAGAGCCTGGGATAAAAGAAGTGTTCATAAATGTTTTTAGAACAATACATTTTCTTGACATTTCATTCTAGGGGAAATATTACAAACAGATTAGACCAGGGATTTTCTTAGAACCAATGAAAAATCATGCTCATTTTTTAAAAAAAAGATATACATTCAAATAACAAAAAATAATAAAACTTCAGTTAGCATAAATGCCTGGGACATACTATATTTCATCCTATCTCAGATACTATCAATTATAAGATACTTTATGTTCTACTGAGAGAGAAAAAACACTGCCAATATCTGATGCCATTAATAGTAAGAAATGTCCTGATTAAAATGGGGGAGGGGAGATATACATCTTAGAATCAGTAAAATATGATCGTGGGTGCTCACTAAATATTTGAAGGGTGGGTGGATGGTGTCTTAGTCTGTTCAAGTTGCTATAACAAAAATACCATAGACTGGGTGGCTTATTTCTCACTGTTCTGAAGGCTGGAAGTTGGAGATCAGGGTGTCAGCATGTTTGGGTGAGGACTCTCTTCCAGTCTGCAAACTTCTGGTTATATCCTCACCTAGCAGAAGGGGCTAGCTAGCTCTCTGGGGCCCCTTTCATAAGGACACTAATCCCATTCATGAGAGCTCTGCCAATCACCTCCCAAAGGCCTCATCTCCTAATACCATTGCCTTGGTCATTAGGTTTTCAACATATGAATTTTGAGGTGATACAAATATGCAGACCACAGCAAATGGATGTATGGATAGATGGTTACTTGATCTTAACTCTTTGAGAACAAGAACTCAGATTGGCTCATGTACAGCCATCAAAGTATCTTGCATGATACTTTCACACAGTATTTAATAAATGTTTATACCATTGAAGCAATAGCATTAAGGGTAGGTTAATTTAAAGACAAAGAGAAGAGAACTGAAATGCCAAGTAAGCTATGAGAGTGGAGGGATGTGAAAGGGGAAATTAGAGAGATCTTCAATTCCCTTGGTCTTTATGGGCAGATGGGGAAAAACTCTAGGATTCTTATTCGCTTTGGGGGAATAAATTATTCTCTTTTAACAGTTCAAATCTAGTTTCCTAGAGTGTAACTTTTTCCCCAGAACTCTCTATTGCCAAATATTTGAGAGCCAAATTCTGACACCAGACTTTGAAAATGATTTCATAGAATCATAATACTAGAGTTGTAAGGGACCATAAAGATTAAAATCCAGTTGTCTTGTTTTAGAGATTTATAAACTTATCCTTTCATTCACTCACTCATTCATTAATTCAAGAAATATTTTGCAAGTGCCTGACATACAGTAGACACTGTGTTAAGTACAGTGGATTCAACACTGGGGGAGACAGAAAATTAGGCAAGCAATTAAATCAACGGATGCATGCCATGATAGTTACCTAGGTGTATATTTAGGTTTTCGCTCAGTAGAGACATTCATAAAAAATACTTGTATTTTTTATGTTAACATGCTCTGATAAATGTGATTGGTAAATCAAATATTTATCAGACACTTGATTTATTTACCAATAAATGATTGGTAAATCATACATGGTATTCAAGACTGTTTGCAATATGGCCCTATCATATTTTTGCAAGTCTTAGCTTTTGGGTATTCTACTTCAGCCACACTGAAGTAATTCCTATTTCCTGGACACACCTTGGACATTCCCATCTCCATTCCCTGCTCATGTTATTCCCCCAGCCTATGACGTCCTCTGCTCTGGTGAATCCTCTCTACCTTTTCTGAGACCTTTATCATTTAAGCCCTCCTTCTTGATACCATGAAGGCAGAGTGCCAAGTACATGGGAATTGGACCCAGCCTGCTTGCGGAACTCCAGTACCAGCTGCGAGACTCTTGAGTGTCACTATATAGGCTCAGATAGTAATAATATCTTTTTAAAAGTGCTGTTGTGAAGATTAAGTAAGAAAAAGCTTGTAAAACACTTATCACAGAACTAGGTACAATTTCTGTTATTCTATACCCTCTCATTCTTTTTATCCCATCTGTCACCTACCGTCTTATTGCTATTTACGCATGTGCCTTTCTTCTCAGCAGTATTGTTAGGAAGCAAATGCATGGACAGTGTTTTTTGTTCATCATGAATCACCTATAATACTTAACATACTACCAAAAGTATATATAGCAGGTTTCAATCAAGTTTTTGAAAGGATAAATGAAGAATAGGAAAGATGGATGGATGGATGAACGCATGAGGTGATAAGGTCCAGCACTGGTGGCAATTGTATTTACTTATGTCCACAATGCAGACTGACTTTAGTAACTAGGGTGTGCTTCTCAAATAAGTTGGCAATATTTCTAGAGCAAATTTACATATAAAAGAACTACTCATATTTCTTCCTTAAACATTCTCTTCTCTTTGAGAAGGAGCAGATCCTTGTATATCAACATAGTCGAGGCTTTTTAAAGAGCAGAAGAATTGTGTCCTAATAAGACACTTTGGAGAGTGTCTTCACTTCTCACTCCTGGGTCTAATTTCTTTTAATACTCCACGTGGTCTCTGAGAAGAACTTCTGGAAGATCAGGATGAGGCCTAGGGAATGGGGCAGCAAGGGACAGGTCAACTCTTATGCATTCTAGACTGAATGTTACATTTAATGTTTGACCCAGAGAGAATCAGAGGCTTTGCCGGTCCCCTTCAATTTGATTTAGAAAGAATTGGCCTGAAGTTCACTTCTGCAGAAAGACCTGGTCTCAGCAGGCAGCCAGGTGTGTCTGGTCTTACTCTGCCTTATAAACATTAGGTCACTGCATATCCAATTCTGCCAATTGTACAAACTGTCTTATAAAATAAGTACATAGTGTCAACATAGAAGCATACTTTTTCAAAAGAATGTACTATTTAGTTCTAGTTCTTAGTGCTTCTGATTTATGGTTGAAATAGCACTTGGAGTAGTGCCTTGGGGAAAGCAGGCATTTCACAGATATTTTTCGAATGTGTGTTGAATGAAATAAAGTTTGGTTCGAAAAGCCATTTTGCAGGCTATGTTCATGACTGTCAGTAATACTGTTCCTTTTCTCTCCAGAAAGCATTATATTACTTCTTAAAGGCAGCAAAGGCCGGGAGTGCAAATGCTATGGCATTTATAGGAAAGGTACATGCTTCATCTTGATCAATTTTTCGTTTCTTAAAAACCTAAGAAATTAATAGTATCGGCTAATTGAACCCAGTGTATGGTGACAGTGCCGCAGACATTTTTCATGGAAGCAGCTGACCGGGGCATTCCACTACAAACCAAGGGTAGTATTCTTGAGGTGACAATTTGGGAAGAAGCCCCACACAACAGCAGCCTTTATCTAGGGCACCAAAAGCAGCCTTGAAAATGCCCCTGGCCCAGGGCTCCTCAGCTGAGTGTAGGTCAGAGCCCCCCCGCCCCCACCATGACTCCCTACTCCAGCATGTAACAGGAGAGCTAGGCTAGTTGTGTATCAAACTGGTACAGGCCTTGGCCCAATGAGGTGCCTCCTTCCTCCGCCCCTGGAATGAGAACCAGCTCCAGGCTCACCAAAGTCCATCCTTGGGCCACCTCTGACCCCGATGGCTGCTGGGCAGCCTTCGTCGAGGGTTTCTCGAGAGGCATGTTCTTCTCTCCTTTAAAGACCAGTCACTTGGCTGGCCGAGTGCTGCCCTCGGCTCCCTGCAGCTAATTTGCATTAGTAACCATGGGGACAAGAGATCTCCTTCCAGAAGTGCTACGTACAGTAAAATTAGATGTGAGGAAACATGAGAACAAACAAATAGGATCTATTTCTTTGCCTCAGGCATGGTCACTCCAGAATGTATGTAGTGTATTGTTTCCTCAGTTTTTCCCCTTTTTTTAACTGAGATGAAATTCAAATAACATAAAATAAACCATTTGAAAGTGTACAATCAGTGGCATTTACTACATTCACAATGTTGTGCAACCATTACCTCTATGTAGTTCTAAAACATTGCTATCACCCTCAAATTCCTTAGTTTTTTACATCCTCTTTTTATTTTTTTCCCAGATGTATTTAGAGGGTAATGCTGCAGCACCACAAAATAATGCTACGGCCTTCAAATACTTTTCCATGGCGGCCAATAAGGTATGTACTCAGCTCATTTCTGTAAACACATAAAAACCCTCAGCTTTTATTACACAGTGCTGAAGAGTTGACTCCGAAGCCCCACGGCCAGCTAAGGGGCCTGGGAGGAGTTTTGTGCCCTGGAGAAGAATATTACTTACAATAAAATGTGGGGTTGGGGGAGGGGAAGATATATTTTGTCTTTTTGGTAAATGGAAAATGGCAGAGACTTGTGCTGCCCTAGCAGAAGGCCAGATTGAAGCTCAACTTCCCCCTCCCCCGTGCAGTAGATGAGGCCATCTAGCTCAGGAAACAGGAGATAAATGAGATGAGGACAGAGGAAGGGAAAACTCAATCAATAACCACAGTAAGTTCAAGACAAAGATAGCCAAGAAATGCCCAGTTTTCTCCAGTTCAATCTGACTCAAAGGCCAGAAATCCCCCTGGGCCAAGCAGAAAGTTGTCAGAGAGGCACCATGAGGAGATGCTTAAGAGTATGGCTCTGGAGGCAGAATCCCTGGTTTGAATGCCAGTCCTGCAACTTACTAGCTGTGTGACCATGGGCAAGTTGCTTAACCTCTCTATGCCTCAATTTGCCCATTTGTAAAATGGGAATGTAAGATTTGCCTCATATTGTTGTTGTCAGGATGTAATGAGTTAATATTTATGTGCCTCGTATTGTAAAGTATTTACAGTAGCGCCTGTCAGCTAGTATCTTTTGCCATCTGGGGCCAATGAGGTAGAGTGGACTTCAAAGCATATCCAAGGCAGGATGGATTGGATCCGTGGGGGAATATAGAAATGGTATATTATGGCTCCTGCCATTGAAGTGTTTGCCTTGGTTCCCAGGCTCAGTGAGGCTGGTATCTGTCGGATAAACCTTAGGAGACTACTCTGAATCCTTTTAGTGCGTGAAGAACGTCCTCACTGCAACACGCATCAGCCTAACCTTGGTGAATGGCCTTGATAAACTTTCTATCCCCGCACAGTTGGAAGCATTTTATTGTCTTACAATATCATACTGCAACACTGGCAGTAAAGATGTGCTCAAATTGGGGAATATTTTCAACTGCTCTCAGTTTTTAAAAGCCCACACACTGCTTTAGGAGCCTATTTATAAATGCCTAGCACCTCAGAGCTGCTGCTATTGTATAAATTACTGAGAAAACTGGTACTTGCTGCTTCTCCCTTGTAATTTATATAAAATTGTCACTCAGCGAGACAGTTATCTAGAGTACCATTCGATTAGGATGACAAGGGAGAGCAGACTGAAAAAGAGGTGGGGTAATGGAACAGAGGAAGATCTCTTGTGATCTGGCAAATAACACTGATTTGTCAGCCCGAAAGAATAATGAGAGGAAGTTGTGTGTGTAAATTAACCCAGCTTCCAAGCTGTCAGGGCTGTGTAACCAGCAGAGATCTGAGATACTCATGTTCTAGACCAGAGCTACCTCTCTTTACAGAGGAAAAATCTGAAATTGCATTTAAGGTCATTATTCCCAACGGCATCAGGGGGACATGGCCATATGTTCCTTTATCATCATCTGGACAATTTATTAGATTTCTCACTTGGGGTCACTATCAAAGTAAAGGATTTCTATCTTCCACTCTGCACACCCATACTCTTCTTTTACTACTTTTAAAAGAACTATTGCTTTTTAAATTTGTTTTTAAGTTACATCAATAGAAGATGCAAAGCCACAGACTTGATGACCTCTTTTGTCTGATTTACTCAGAAACATGAACAGTTATCCTATGTGATGTTGGGCCCATATTGGACCATTTTCTTCTGGTTTTCTCTCTCACACCTCTGAACACAGCAGGCCCATTGCCATCTCCACACTCTTGTTACACGCCCTCCCTTCCCAGAATCCCCCATTCTGAATCCTACCCATCCTCCAGAACAGAGCTCAGTCCCCTCTCCCTCCAGCAAGCCACTTCTCCTTGGCTCACATAATCTTTTCCTTCTTCTGAACTTGCCCTGCATTCAGTCTATGTACTACTGGAACTTGACTGCTTCTTCCTTGTGCCTTCTCTCCTGCTGTTTGAAAGCCATGTCTCCTCAACTAGAGGAGGGCAAATGTTTTAGTACACAGTAGCGGTTCATTAAATATTTGCCAAATAAATGATCATCTGCTCCCTAAGTTCATGTCAGTTAACCTAAGAAAGAGCACCGAGCCCTAAAGTAGCAGTTATGTATGGGGGGATTGCCTACACATATGTTTTCTTTGGCCCAGAAAGTGTTTTAAAAATTAGGAAATTTCATATCAAAACCTGGACATCCACGTTTTCTTAAAAACGGGAAAAGCTAACCATATGAGGCTGCCACTCCACGTGGCAACAACTGGCTAGAGCAGAGAGCTGAAGAGCTGCTGCTGTCTTTAGATAGGGCAGGTATTTTCTGGTTTGCCTCTGTCTCCACCACTCCCTCCATCACTGGCCTAATGCACTTCTTATATTACCTGCATGGCTCCTGGAGGGATCTGAGTTGGCTACTCCTGACCTGAAAGTTCTAAACTGGTGCTCTGGGCCTTAAACTGTTGGCGAGTCATCCAATGAACACTTGGTTTCCCAGCCACTCTCTTAGAGAAGGAAAGTAATTTGTCCCCACTATTCTAACATTTCTCCTTCTTCTCTCCCTTCTTCCTTCCCTTCTCTCATTTCCCTTCCCTTCCATTTTTCTCAACACCTAAATGAAGGTAGTTAGAAGAAACCAGACTCACTAGACTTGACCACATCCTCCACACCAAGCCTTCCTACTCCCAGACCAGACTATCCCAAGACTCCTAGGACCACAGGTGGATGTAGTCAGGAGAGAAGAGGGAAGAAGGGAACAGAAGCATGCCACTGTTTTAAATACAGATGGATTGTCCTTAAGAACCCTTACAATAGCTGCCCCTTTGATATGCATAGGCTCAAACTCTGGAGTCTTGAAATAGTTTTTGAACTATGCCTTCTCTACTTTATGTGTTATTCTTGCATCACTGAGGGGTACTCTGGCTGCATCCACAATAACTAAATTTAGGTGGCAAGAAGAAATTTGGAGAATTTTCTATTAGAACTTAAGTTCTTGAGGAAATACTATAAATCTATAAAACAAACCTACAGAAGAGCTGAATGAAAGCCATGCAGCCAAGCATGGGTCCTTACTCAGTCACTAGAGAGTAAACGTGCCATGGGAGATAGAAAGAAAAAGTGAGATTTCTGGTTGGAACCTTTCAAGGTTCAATCTTCATCCAGGAGTGATATGCTAAATATCAATATATTTGAACATGTGCTAAATGCTAAATGTGCTAAATATTCCCTTCCCTAGACTATTCAGAATGCTAATCAGAAAAAGAAATGGTAGTTAATGTAGCATCAAGTGGAAAAGGAAACATTGGTGATGTTATAAGCAGTCAAATTTGAATAAAGAAACATATACCAACAATGCCTTACCATCCCTAATGGCTACATTGAAATTCACAGAGTTTCTAAATGTTATTTGGCCATTTATGTCAATGTTTTTTGACCAAAGCAGGTAACAGGTGTCTCGATAGACTTTTCTCTTCTGGAAAACTCCTATACATCCTTCAAGATCCAGCTCAAATGTCACCACCACTGACAACACAATCTCCTCAGTCTCTAGCCTCAACCGGGCAATTGAGTGTCCCTCTTCTAGGTGCTCATGACACTCTCCATCTGTTTTTACCATAGGACTTGCTACATTCGACACGATTTCTTTAAGAGATCCTACCTAATAGGTCAGAGTCTACTAGCCTGTGAACTATCTAAGGCAGGGATCACGATTTATTCATCTTTTACTTTTCACCTCCTACCTCTGCCCAGTGCCTTTTATGGAGTCATACACAAAGCAACCACTAAATAAGTGTTGAATGAAAGCATGGAGGAAAGATTTGACTTTCACTTCCCTCTTCCCTTTCTTAGTCAAAGGGGGTTAGGAGAGTGTGAAAGGAGAAACTAGAGAGGGTCAGAATAACTTGCCAACTGCCTGATTAACCTGCCTTGATTAAGCTCCTACTGGGTGCATTTAAAATACTTTGAATGATTTTGCAGTAATTTTCCTTATCATAAATTCTTCTGGGACTTTACCTGGATCTTTAATACTGTTCTAGGGCAATGCAATTGGTCTTCATGGGCTCGGTCTTCTTTACTTTTATGGGAAAGGAGTTCCTGTGGTAAGTTAAATAATTTCATTATCTTTTCAACACATTTCTAGCAATTTATAGGTAAAATTCATGATCATTGATTAATTTAAAGGAATTAGTCTCTATTACCTGGTTTGTCAAACTATCATATCTGATAATAGAGAATAAAATAATCCAGTGAAATATTTGCCAAAGAGACAAAGAACAAGCTTGTGATAAGAATAACAATCCTAATTATATCTTAGAATCATAGCTTCTGAGTAACCTTAAAAATCCTCTAACCCCTGAGGATTTTTTTGATAGAGATATTTATCTTCTTAGTTTAACCTCTGTCTTTTGAAAGACCTTCCCCCAATATCTAACAAAACCTACTGTCAATGTAGGAAAAGATGTAATTTACAGTGAAAATGAGATAATTATTTCCTAATAGATTCTAATACAATAATGAAATAAGATGTATAATACTTCTGATACTATTTTAACTAGCCTAAATCAATAGGGCACTACTATACTCTTAAAAAAAAGTGGAAGGCAATTGTTACCATGGAGTTATAATGCACCTTTGATTAATAGAGTGTAATTATCTTACAGAACTATGCTGAAGCACTGAAATACTTTCAGAAAGCTGCAGAGAAAGGATGGCCTAATGCACAGTTTCAATTAGGCTTCATGTACTACTGTAAGTGCTACAAATATGGCTGTTTTACTTAGAAGCAAAAATGTATTATTAAGTCCGCTCCTTTCTTAACAAAAATCAGAGGGTTGATGTGAGTGGTTTAGATAGAACATCCAGGCAGCGGTTTGAGGAGGAATTTGAAGAAGACAGAAGGAAAGGACACCAGTTGAGGGAGGAGGCATGGAGGTGCAATCAGGAAGCTCACCTTTGAAAAGGTCAAGTTTGAGGTGCTTTGTGATATCCAATGCACACACCCAGAAGCAAAGTATGAAACTCACAAGAAAGGTCAAACTTGAAGAGAAAGATTTGGGAGGCATCAACATACAGATGTTAGTTAAGAGTAGCTGAGACTGCAAAGGGAAAGGAGAGAGAGTGTGAGAGGAAGGAGCTTTGGGCCGTGGTCAGGAATCTGGTGGTCACAAGAACTGAAAGGGCATGGTCAGAGGAATAGGAAAAAAAAAGTGATCTTAAGGAAGCCAAGGAATAGAACTTTCAAGAAAGAATAAATGAATGAGCAGCCTTGTGAAATGCATGAGAATCCTGCATTCTCAATTTCAAAAGAAAGTAAGAAAGGGCTGAGTATCAGTGGACTTGTCAATATGGAGGATGTCTGTGAGGTCTTCGGACTGGTTGGGGTGGAAGCCAGACACGATGGGTTGAGTTATGAATGGAAGGTGAACGAGTAGGTGAGTAAAAATATTCTCAGAAGTAGCGTGCCTTTAAATGGAAGGAGAAAGATGGAATGGTAGCATGAGGGGGACCAAGAACCAAGAGAGAGTTGTTTTTAAGGTGGTGAGAAACCTGAGTATAATTTTTGGCAGAAAAAAGAGAGCCAGCCAATGGAGGTAGTTAATGTCTCATGGGAGAAATGAGATCATTGATGAAGAGGTTCTGGAAAAAGTTGGGTGGCATTAGGATCTGACCGGGCCCAGGTAAGTGGAGGCCTCATTAGTCTTCATAAAGAGGAGGGATTTATCATCCTCAAAGACTGGAGAGAGGGAGGAAAGGGTGGTACAGGTAATCTCTGTGGGGACTGAGAGAGGGAGTGGCCAAGTCAAGTACCAGGAGATGTGAACATATCTGAGTATCCCCACTGAGTATCCCCAGTCCTTCCTGTCAGAGGTGGAGCTAGGGCAGCAGCAGACTACATCATCAAGGAGGTCAGATGTGGCCAAGAGGTCAGCTGGCATTTTCTACAGTAGCCTAGGGGGAGAGCTGTTCTGTAATGTTCTGTACAGTTGCCTAAACTAGCCTTATTCTTCTAGTTCATTCCAAGTCTCAGGCCCAGGATCTATCAGATTCCTCAAGCTTCTAGAATGAAAATAATAGTAATGGTTAATGTTTATTAGGTCTTTATATGTATTTACTCATTTAGTCCTCTCAACACATCTAGAGGGTATCCTACAGTTTATAGATGAGCAAACTGAGCCTTACTGAGGTCAAACATCTTGCCCAAGATCACACAGTTAGTAGAGCTGGCATTCAAACCCCAATGATCTGCCTCCAGAACCTCTGCTCTAAGCTGCAACATGGCAGTGCTTCTAAAGGCTAAGAAATGTTAGCGCTGGAAGGCAATTTAAGGACCACCTAGTGAAAGCCCCTCCTTTTGCAAATGAAGTGCCTAGAGGTCCCCAACTCACAAAAGGAGTAATAGGAGAGCCGGGACAAGAATCCCACTTGCTGGGAGTATGCCGATTTTTCCAGCCTAGCTCCAAATACCTCTCCTTGCTCCAGGCATGAGTTGAGTCTGAGCTGGGCTTCCTAGAGCTGGGATTTGCCAAAATCCATAGTTATGGCTGACAGGAGCTAGATTGGCCTCCCGGTGTGGAAGGATGACAAGGATGGTGAAACACATCCTGGTGGGGCTTCTGGTCCTCAGAGACCACCATTTGGTCTCTTTTTCATTAACTTTAGTTATGCCACATTGAGAAGATATTTTCAAGAGACTAAATTGTCCTTCTCCTTCAGTTTTCTGAATGGGTCAAGAACATAACTTTCCAACTTATAATTGAACTCAACTTTTTTCCCCCAACTAGTGGATCTAGAGTAGCTTAGCTTTTAGTTGGCTTTTCCCATCCTGTTTAAAATAGCAGGCATCACTCTGACAATTATATCCATAGATTATAATGTAAAAAATAAAATAAAGAAGGGGTTGCTCAAAATAATTTTAATTTTCAGCTGGCTCTGGAGTATGGAAGGATTATAAACTTGCCTTCAAATATTTTTACTTGGCATCTCAGAGTGGGCAGCCCCTTGCCATTTATTACCTGGCCGAGATGTACGCAACAGGAACAGGAGTGTTAAGATCATGCAGAACTGCTGTGGAGGTAAATAACGGGCTGTTTTTAAAGTACTTTTCATTTATCATATAGAGGAGGTGACACTGTCCTTAAATTGTTGGTGCCTTTGATTTTACAGATATTACCTCTTTTCTTCCAGTTGACAATGTGAACACTGACATTTGCCAGGGAGGAAAAGCAGTGATGTAACTCAGACTGGGAAAGGGAGGGAGAGAAATGATCCCTCCTCTCCTGCATTTGGCTTTTCATTGAGTTCAGAGCTCGCCTCAGAATTCAGTTAAGGAGCTCTGTTTCAGCCTTCGATCAAATCACCAGGGCAACTTGGCACTTCTAGTGGGATTGGGAGTTGCGACTTGGGAAATGACAGGCTTGATTTAGCCTAGAAAATATAGCCCACTTCTTCCCAGAAAGCAAAGTCCTTAGGTTTTTGATGATTTGGATGACAACTGAGAAAATGAACTCTTTCAGCTTGAGCCAGGGATGTGCTTTTCAAAAGAATGCTTTTAGGACTTTAGTGCCCTTCATTGACTTATTAAACACTTCTGCTGTGCCAATATAAATACCTCCATGTTGCATTCTGGCCCCTCTGAAATTCATTTCAAAAGCTACCAGCTAATAACCTATCTTTAGATTTGCTCCTTTGCCAAATTCCTAATGAATTATGTATGGCTAACCTCTTTTGGTTACAGAAGGGCTATTCAGCTAGGTTGACGTTTGTCCCCATTGAGCTCTACACACCTCCCTCATGGTTATGTCACCTACACCCTCCGGCACTGTCTTCCCTTCATTCTCTCCTTTCCACATTAGCTGTGGCCTTATAACTTGCCCTCACAGAACAACAATGCCCAGAAAGGTCCTTTTTTTAAAAACAGAAGTCAGTACATTCTTGTTCTGCCAAAGAGCCTCGAAGTCAGGAAAGTGTATTACGCAAATTTAAAATAAACCTCAGGAAGTTTCAGCTCAAAACAAAAAAAATACATACTTGTAATCTTTGTGCCTAAGAAAGGTATTAACTCTTCACCCTAAATAATTTGCAAAAGCTGTGCTTTAGACCTGAAATCCTTGCCTGACCAGCCAGCATAAGCTGAAGACTGTTGTTGTTTATCATTTACCTGGGATGGAGTATATTGGATAACTAGTCTGCTTGCTTTCTCTTCCCATATACAGCTTTATAAAGGTGTCTGTGAACTAGGCCACTGGGCTGAGAAATTCCTGACAGCATACTTTGCCTATAAGGATGGTGATATAGATTCTTCTCTTGTTCAGTATGCACTACTTGCAGAAATGGGATATGAAGTTGCTCAAAGCAATTCAGCATTCATTTTGGAATCTAGTAAGATAAGCTAAAATTCTCTGTAATTCCCCAATCACACATATGCATGTATGACTTTACTACAGGGACATTTTACGTCTTCCTAATGAAATGTTTCCCTTTTTTAGAAAAGGCTAAAATTCTTGAAAAAGAGAAGATGTATCCAATGGCACTTCTCCTATGGAATCGAGCTGCCATTCAAGGTATAAAAGCTAGATAAAAATGAGCACATACCTGGTCCCCATCCACTATTATTTATCTGATTTGCTCCAGCTGAGTTCTTGGGCACATAGGCAGAAAGGTGCAGAATATCAAGTAGGCGGTATTTCAAACTGTACTGATGTTAGGGTCAGTCTTCAGTTAGAGGTCATTTCCAGGAATTTCTTTTCCTTGTTATTCTCAAGGTCCCTGGTTTAGCAAACCATAGAAATTTTTCCATGGCTCTGTCTCCATGGCACCAGAACAGTTGTTTGAAACATGACAATTTTACTCAAGAAACCGATTTTCTTGGTCTTGTTTTAGTCACTCATTTGCTGAGTTTTTTCTGAACTTGTCAGAGATGTGACCTATGTCTCAATGACTTTATAGGTGAAGTTACTTATGGATCTAAGATTTGTTTTATTTCTTTTTCAAAATGCCACACTGATAATTACCACAAACTTCAGATCTTTATTATAACCATCAGCATGTTAGCATTAGAGAAAAATCAACGCGGAGTTAATGGGCAAGATCCTCTCCCCTTTCCTGGGGTCCCCCTGCCCCACTTGGAGGGACCACGTGTGATAAGGAATGTAAGACAGCATTGGTGAGAAAGCAGTGGCAGGTGGCATTTGCAGCATTATGTCTTGTTCTATTCTTTCCCTAAAATTACATTACTGAAAGCAGAGAGATACTGCAAAGCTGTCACTATTGGCATTTGGGTATGTGAGGAACCCTGTTGCAGTAAGAGAGCAATTTCACTTCCAATTAAGTTTCTCAAAACGTCTCATGCTAAGGCAGAATCATCCCTTTTCTACAAGGAGTGAATGGGATAAAACATGATTCTCAGCTGATGCTAATATGAGGCAGAGGAAAAAGTCACAGTGGTGCCTTCGCAGATCCAGATGAGCTGGTAATGGAGCAGCAAGCCATCCATGCAATTTTAGTGAGAAATTCCCTAAAAAAGAAAAGTCTATGTTTCCTAAAATGCAATCAAGACCTCATTTGGAGTGGGGAAACAACACCAGCAACCTCTCAGCTATGGCAAATCAGCTCAATTGCAGCAAATACAGGTTTATTTCAAGCTAGGAAATGGTGTGGAAATTGCACCAAGGAAAAGAGACAATGAAAACGAGGGGACATTAATATTAAAAGAATTCACCAATATAAAAATGTTGGTCTGCTAAAAATAATGTGTCACAAGAGAGGTCAGGCACGAGTGTCCCCGAAGATGTGGCTGCTGAGTGGTTCACTTGAGGTTAGGAAGTCTAATAACGAAAGCTTCCAGTCACTGGTGGTGCTTCTTTCAGCAGCACTGCATGTGAGAAGGTGCTGAGCCATCAGGACTCAGTCACCACCCGTGAATGTGAGATTTAAGGGGAAATCCCTCCCACTGACAAGCGACCCCCTGGGAGCCTGTCAGGATTGCCATGTGCCCCGAGTCAGTCCCCTAATTAGGGTGGAGCTGAATCCTTTAGAGAACCTGCTTGTTCACTGCCTTCCATTTTCAGAGACTTCAGGGGTCCTGCTTATTGCTTGTAAAGCTCGAAAATGCACAGAAGTCCTGTCCTTTTGTGGTTATGACCCAGAAGGAATCTTGCAGTCAAAGGAAGGCAAATTTGGGCGAAATTAGAGAAGGAGTGGGTTTCTCTTTAGGGATCCTCCAGGTTCCTCTCCTGGGCATCATTTCTAAAAGGTCTTGCCCCCAACCACCTGTACATTTTGAAGCACTTGGGAAGCAAGCCCTGGTAACTAATGTCTTTGACAGCTTAAAAATTTTATGATGTTACCTCTACTCAGAGAGAGCTAAAGATGGCTCATAATATCACATTTTAGAAGAAAATTCTAGACAATTAAAAGGACTTCAGGGGCCGGCCCCATGGCTTGGCGGTTAAGTGCGCACGCTCCGCTACTGGCGGCCTGGGTTCGGATCCCAGGCGCGCACCGCCGCACCGCTTGTCCGGCCATGCTGAGGCGGCATCCCACATACAGCAACTAGAAAGATGTGCAACTATGACATACAACTATCTACTGAGGCTTTGGGGAGAAAAAGGAGAAAAAAAAGGAGGAGGATTGGCAATAGATGTTAGCTCAGGGCCAATCTTCTTCAGCAAAAAGAGGAGGATTGGCATGGATGTTAGCTCAGGGCTGATCTTCCTCACAAAAAAAAAAAAAAAAAAGGACTTCAGTACCCAAAGGAATCAATTCCAAAGGATTTTAGGCATTACACTAGGCGAAGTGGGGAGAAAAATTTGGAAGGATTCCTACAGCCCTTAATGATACACCTCAGACCATACCACACACAGTACTTCCTCCTTTTCCAAGCAAGCCTAGACTGTGCTAGAGGGGTTGGCCACAGCTGAGATGGATGCCCTAGATGAGCATTCCTTCTTCTTTTCAATCAACATTGTCCTAGTGAATGAAAGCATGGACCCCAAAGAGACCCTTAGAATTCATTCCTAAGTGGCCTTCAAAAGTCTGGTCTCATATCTAAAAAAGTCATGTGAATTGTTTCTATTCCTGAATATATCCATGCTTGTTGGAAAGTAAGATTCTAAAATACTTAACATATTTGGTAAGCATTTTCTAAATAGTTTCCTACCATGTCTATCCATTCATTCCATAAATATTCTTCAAGTACCATTCTAGTCCTGGGATCTAGGAATGATCCAATGATCAAGAGCGTCAAAGTTCCTGCCCTCACGAGAGAGAGAGAAAATAAACTAGCAAAAAAATGAGATAACAGTGATATATGCTGTGAAGGACATAAAACATGGAGATGAGATAAATAACAACTATGTTGGGGGCTGAGAGGATGCTTTAGACAAGGTAGTCAGACAAGGCCTCTAGGAGGGAAGTAACATTTTTGGTGAGACCTGAATGATGAGAAACCAGCCACATGAAGAGTCAGAGGAATTCCAAACATGCCAGGTAGAGGGACTTGAAGAATCTTAATTCAGGGATCCCGAGGCAAGAATGAGCTCAGTGTGTTGAAGGAATATTAAGGAATGTTAAGAAGGCTACAGCATATCAAGAAAGTGGCATCCAATAAGGCTAGTTAGGGAGGCAGAAGACAGATAAAGCATGACTTGTAGGTCAAGTAAGGAGTCTGGATATTATTCCAAGTGCAAAGTGAAGCACTTGAGAGATTTAACATAGAAGAATAACATGACTTGATTTTACATGATAAAAAGATCATCTTGGTAGTTGTGTGGGGAGTAGACTGAAAAGTGAAAAGAAGAGTTTGGAGGCTACTGTAGTGTTCCAGGCTGGGACTAGTTGGTGGAGGAGATGGCAAGAAACAGGTGTGTTGTAGAGGTGGAACCAACAGGACTTCTTGATGGATTTGATGATGGAAGTGAGGGGAAAAGAACTCGGAATAATTGCCCTAGATTTATGGCCTGAACAATGGTGGTGCTGGCACTGACATAGGGAAGAAACAGATGATTTGGGGGAGGGGGTAGCAAGGCGTTAGGAATCTCTGTTGGGTGTTTTAAGTTTGTGATCCAAGTAGGGAAGTCAAGAAGGCAATTATAAGAGTCTGGGGCTTGGGGAGAGACAGGACTATAGGTATAAATTCAGTAATAGTAAACATAAAAATTGCCATGGCACTAGATGAGATCACCTAATAAAAGAGCTGAGATAGAGGAGAATGGTAGAGAGAGGAGGGGAAAGGAGGAAGAGAGAAGAGAAAAGAAGGGAGCAAAGAAAGGGGAAAAAGGAGTTGAATAACAAGCCTTTGATATTCCAAAACTTAGAAGTTTGGTAGAGGAGGAGTCAGGCAAGAGGTTGAAAAGGAGAGGCCTATGAAGCAGGAGGGAAATCAAGAGAATACAATGTCTTTGATGTCAAGAGAGGAAAGTGCCTGGGCAGATAGGTTCAATGACTCCAGCGCTGCTTAGAGGTCCACTGAGATGAAGACAGAGAAGTGGCCAATGGATTTGGCTGCATGAGGGTTATTGACCACCTTGAAAGTAGCAGTTTCATGGAGGAGGAGGGCAGAAGCCAGATTGGAGTGGGCTGAAGAGAATGTGGTAGGTGAAGTTTTGGAGACAGTGAGTGTAGAACACACTTTTTAAAAGGCTGAATGTGAAGGGAACAGAGAAATGAGGAATAGTTAGAAGGAGACACCATGGGATAAAGAAAGGGTTTGTTTTTGTTCATAGAAGATATCAAAGTGTGTTTGAAAGACTGATGGGATTGATCTAGGAAAGAGGGAGAAACTGGTGTTGTAGGAGAGTAGAGCTTCAGGAGTGAAGTCTGAGAACAGGAGGGGTGATCCAGTTTCCCAAAAGTTGACCCATCTTCAAAAAATGAATTCAAAAGGTAAAATTCATAATTTTTTGTTCTTCAAGAACATTTGTACTATACCATGGAGTTATCCTACAATGAAAACACTAGCATTGAGTGTTATATTTTGTATTCCATAAAATATCTAATCCTGATTCTGGGATTCTGAGTGGTTTTTATTTTTTTTTCCATTTTTATATATATTATCATTAGGTTGAGTTACTAAGAACTATACATGAATCATTTGAGTTTTGATTCTTCTCTTTCTAACATTTCTATCAGGCAATGCATTCGCTAGAGTAAAAGTTGGAGATTACCATTACTATGGCTACGGGACTAAGAAAGACTATCAAACAGCAGCCACACATTACAGCATTGCAGCCGACAAATACCACAGCGCACAAGCCATGTTCAATCTGGCCTATATGTATGAACATGGTTTAGGTATCGCAAAGGTAATTGCATTGGTAATAATCCCAACCTAGTAATGGCAGCTGTACGGGAAGGAAAAATGTATAAATGTTTTGCATTTCATTGATGTCATCAGTGTAGACAAAGGAAAGAAAAGACTTAACATTTGCTGAGTCTCTCCCACGTGCCAACACATATTACTTACTCTAGTATGAACTCTATGAGGTAGAAATTATTTTCTCCATTTATGCCCAAGGACATAACCAATGAGTGGAAAAAATCTAGTCTAGGCCAATTTGATTTG